ATCTATCTATCTATCTATCTATCTATCTATCTATCTATCTATCTATCTATCTATCTATCTATCTATCTATCTATCTATCTATCTATCTATCTATCTCTTGAAGGCAGGTGGCTATACATTCTGCTACTCTAAATACATTTCTGCCCGAAATTTATTTTTTGAATCTTTTCCCCACTATTGCAAAATGCTTAATCATTCTGTTTTTTTAAATCTATAAAATACATTTTATGATGGTAATATAAATCATTTAAATAAAAATGGCATGGATTTTAAAATACCAAATGCCATGGCATCTGCAGCTAAAATGAGTTTGTTATTATCATTGTTTATTTCAATGTATTATTATAAAGTGAGAACCTAGATGCTTGTGACATGTGTAACTATATACTGGTAAGTTCAGCAACCTATGTTTTCATGTTGTTGACATTTGCTGTGAAAAAGCTATGAATATTTGGGAGGGGGGGAAAGATTGACTCGGGTTTGTCGTGTAAGATTTTTTTTTTTTAAATTCCAGATGGCAACTTGGATAAAAACATGGTTGCATGCAAATTCAGCCTGGTGTATCACATCAGTGTGAAACGTTTTGCTGCAAGCACTGAAACCAGAGCTAACGTTAGCCACGACAATCAAATTGGTGAAGAAAGAAAAGTTTTGGGGAAAAAAAAAACATAGATAAAATATGATTTTAGTTGTTCAAGTACACTAGTGGCATTTTTTATTTTTTTATTTTATGGTCTGTATTGTCATTGTACCATGAGGATACAACGAAACTGAGCCTCTGCTTTTAACCCATCACCAAGGGGAGCAGTGGGCAGCTTTTTAAATTAATCGTCAACCAACATTATTTAAATTGGAAAACTTTTCATATTTTGTCAGAAATCAATCAATTATTTACAAAGCCTTACAATAAATTATTTCTATCTATGTATATTTGTATATATATGTATATATTTCAAATGATATATATTTAATCATTTGAATGTATTTGTCTTTGTATGCACATATGTGACAGAAGATACGGCCTGCTGCATATATCTCTATGTATACATGCACAATTATTTCAACATAAAAGAGTGTTTCTATTCAATAACACAAATCAGCAACTGAAGTAGAAATACAAATATATGTATTTGTCTTTTGGGTTATACACATTCTCCTGGTCATTTCATTACAGAGGTAGAGAAATGCTCAGTCGTGAACCTGGTGGATATTCTATTACCGTGTATGCATGGAAAGTAAGTTGTCTACCGCCTTCATGCAGCTGGGGTTAGCAGTACTTATACCAATCTGACCAAGTTTTAACAGGTACATCATATTCTGCCTACCTACAAAGACAAAAAAAAAACAACCAAAATGGTGAACTACCTGCTGTGTAAATACAACCTCATTACTGGTTTATGAGAGCACACTAGGTTAAGGTTGTAGTGTTAAATATTTTATACAAGAATGTTTTGTGTTAATGTAGGGCCAGGACCTTTTAGTGAGCCTTCTGTGGACCCAATAGGATGTCTTAAAAATGGAAGTGGTTCAATTGTCTGTATAGATTGGGATTGGCCTAGTTTTTTTTTTTTTACTGGATGTTCTGTGCTTTTTAGTCAGAGAGTACTAAATGAATCGACATGTGCTTTGTACAGGCAGATGTTTTTACTAGTTGGTGGTTGCATGAGTTTACAAATACTGGTTGGAGCATTTTCCATTGCTCCATTACAATAGTTATTAACTACAGTATTAGTCAGATGGCCAGATTTTTTTCTGTACAGACACCTTGGGGGCGGTATGCTAAAATTAAATGGAATAATCATCACATTTTTTCTGACATTATTGTTTGATGTTTCTTTAGGAATCCAGTAACGGGTGGTTACAATTGAGGTATTTGGACATGCTAGTAGTGCATAAGTACAATGGACCACTTTTGATGTAATTTTATATTGTTATTGAAGTGGAGAAAGATATCAATAAAGCCAATAGAGAAATGTGCTAAATATGGGCCTCTATAGACAAAATTAGGTTCTCAGCTGTGGGACAGAAGACTATAGTGAGGTCATCGGAGGATCAGGTTGATCAAACACTAAATTGACCATAGGTGTGCCCAACCACCCGGCACTGCCTGCAACCCTGCAAAGCAATAAGCAGTAGTTGATTGGGTGGATGGATGTTTACAACCAAACATTATGTCACATAGATACTGCTTGGGTCAGTTTGACACAGTAGTCAAAGTGAAGTCAAAGCGGAGGCTAAAAGGGGTCAGTTTCTTAGAAATTGTGAGACATATTTCACCCCATCACAAACACACACACAAATGCGTCGCAAACACAACAAAAACAGTACCAGGGCCCACTGGGATGTGTGACCCGTATGGCATGCATACTATATTCTAAATTACTAATTAATAAAAACTAGGTTATGAAAAAATGACTTTCGAATGTGACTTGAAAAAGTTTTCACATTTAAAAAAGTTTGAAAGAAAAGGCTTTTTTTTTTTTAATAAAAAGGTCAATACATTTTTAAGTGGCGGCCACCAAGGGGGCTCTGAAAATCGGACGGAAGATAGGAACACAAACTCAAATTCTTGTTTATTTTATTTTATCATTTGTCCTAAAACATACGAGTAAATGGCTGTAATCATCAGATTCTGAAGTTTCCCATGGCACCTGAACGAACCATGTGTGAAAGCCAAATTCGGCATCACGACGTCATAATTTGTGTAGACCATGCGGTTTGAGTCTGTTGTCAAGCTGCTCTGCGCCTCAAGCTACATTTTAGCTAGCTAGCCCAAAAGAAGAAAAGAAGAATGACAGTTTATTATTAGCTTAATTATTTAGTGGGAACAAACAGTGCTAAAAACATGTTGCAACGTTTCTTTACCTATTCTGTAGTATTGTCTGTGGCTTGGTTTCCTGGTCAGAAGCTAATGCTGTTTAGAGGGCCTTGGCATGGGAAACTTTGGAAACCGCTGCTTTAGCGTATGCATCCATTTATCAATGTGAGAGCATCATGGAAAGCACTGATTGTTTTCAATCAGTTTAAAATGAGAATGTACCTGCCTATAACACCAAAGAGCAATGTTTGCCACTGTTTAGCAATTTACCAGGGTCAGGAAGTTACACTAAACACTAGTTATGACCACAGGGAGACACCATGAGAGGTTGAGCAAAGAGAGCAGACGGGAGAACGGCCAGAGGCAGGAACAAGTCAGAGATGGAGACTGATGACCGCTGATGATAAATGTGTGGCAGCTCTCCAGTAAGAAAGGAGGGGTTTGCATACTGACTGTTGAATAAAGTAGATTATTGTATCTGATTTATTTATTTATTTTTTTTTTTGATTTTTTTACAGGTGATAGCTTTGACTATTTTATTTATTTTGCTTTAATTTACATATCATGTAATTCATGCAGTAAAGTAATTTTTATGTTAAAATAATTTATAAATATATAAAAATGAGCAAAAGCAGTCGAATTTAGATGGATGATGGATAGATAGGTAGGTAGATAGATAGACAGATAGATAGGTAGGTATATAGGTAGGTAGGTAGATGGATATATAGGTAGGTATATAGATAGGTAGGTAGATAGATGGATATATAGGTAGGTAGATAGATAGGTAGGTAGGTAGATAGATAGATAGATAGGTAGGTAGGTGGATGGATGGATGGATGGATGAAAAGAATAAGTGTTATTATAGTGATATAAACTTAATTTTTTTTTTAAACTTGGAGACTTTGACTTCAATTTGCAACAACAAATAATAACTTTGATCTCAGGACATTCCTTGTCAAGTGATACAAATAATTTCTGCCATGCATCCCCGGGGGACAGAAGTTTTTTTCACCCCCCTCTCCCCACCTCACCACCTGAATTGAAATACTGTTGAGCTATCTGTACAAAGCACTGTTAGAGTTGCTCCCCTGATTTTTAAAATTGATTAATAAAATGAGCTGCAATGCTGCCATCTTGTGGCTTTTCACTTTCACATGCAGCCCCAAGAAATGGCACCACCCTCTGGAGAGACGTAAAATCAATCATCGGCTGCACAGTAAAAGTCATCATCACCTTCTCGTCATCATAAATATGGTGTCACTAGTTCGCGGAAATTCAGTTCTCGCGGCAGGCTTTGAAACCTAGCTACCGCGATAAACGAGGGACCACTGTACTGCCATGTCCTAGCTTTGTCAGCTAATTTTTCTTTTCTCATCCTTGATTGGTCCCTATTGTTTTAGTTTTTTTTTTTCTATTTTCCTGCTACCCTTTTCAGCTGCACTCTCTGAGTCCGAATCTGCCAATGATTTCTAACGGTCAAAAAAAGATTTGCCCTGTTTCCCCCGTTTTCGGAGAACGTCCAGTTGGTGCGTTCCTTACAAACTGTCCCTTCAGACATCTCCAGACCCCCAGCAGGGGTTGTATCACTTAATGCACCTTTAGTTTTATGTTAA